GACAGTTAATTTTAAAGTTGTAAAATTTCTTACAAGGCGAATTCGTATGAGGTGGTGTTACCGGAACTGCTGATTTCAAGGCGAACTTTTACTGTTTGTCAAAATAATGTGTTCGTTTTAATTTTGTTTTGTACGGTTTGTTAGTGTAGTTTTTGTTTTTGGGCTGTCGCTACCACCTCGTATAAATTCGCCTTGATTTCTTGATTACCTTGTTTATATGTGGAAAATGCGAGGTATTCCAAAATATCGGCCCGCGTAAAGGTTTGAGTTTGATTCTGAGGTTCCTCTTGGAGTCGAGTCATTGCCTCACTCATCCAGAGTACGGTGTGATAGTAGTCATGATTGACGTACGATTGGCGTCCCAACTCAAAGCAGTCATCTGAAGACATTGCCGTGCTGGAAAACAGAAAAAGAAATGTCATGTAACTAGAGTCTCCTAACGTAAACAAAGGGATTTTCATAGTCTGGGGAAATTAGAAGAACTTGTGTAGAATAAATATTATCAATTGCAAGGAACTTCAATGGGAATAATTCAGATCTATTGCGCAAATCACAAATGAGCAGATGAAACTTTGCGATCACCGATTACTTTGAAATTTTCTGCTTCAACTTCCTACTTACACATGTCTCTTTCATGATAATTATCGTTACCTGTATTGTATGCCATTAAGCATGCCACGCGCCACACTCGATGTGTCCAGTTTGTAGGTGTCCTGCAGCCGCATCAACGCTACTGCAGCTCCATTCAAATCTTCATCAGATGGGAATTTCAGTATGTGGCGGTAATTCGTGATGTTATTCAGAAATTCTAGAACAGGAAAAGGGGGTTACGAAAAACGGAAAGAGATTATGTAATCAAAGCATGACAAAACCTACCGACGCCTACATCGTGCGCCATTAAATTCTCCACTTGTCGCCAGTCGGTGGTCAGTCGTTTTGTCAGCAGGTAAGCGTTTATTGGATTTGAGACGTAGGCGGACATATCCGCGGCTGCGTCCTCGTGTTCTCTTTGGTATTCACCCAGCTTACTGCAAAGAAAGAAAGAAATACATACGTATCTATATTCATATATGTAAACACGGAGAAGACACATACATAACAACAAAAAGCATATGCACATATATCAAAAATTTAGACTTAGCGTCATAAACAGATGCAATTTGAAATTGAAAAAAAAAAATTGCGAAAAGTTTAATATGTTATTTTTGCAATCAGCCAAACTTACAAGGCTGCAAGAAAATAAGAATGTAGTAGAATAAGGCCCAGCTAGGTATTGCAAAAAAATAACATAAAATAATCGATGATTAATCACAAGCCAAAAAAAAAAATCAATTGCACTTAATTGCAATTATTGAGAAATAATCGATCAATCGAATTCTTAAGGGCACTGTTCTACAGTGAGTATTCACAAAAAAAAAATGAGTATCCATAAAAAATTCGAATTCTTGTTAATTAGTCTTAAATAAAATAAAGCGAGTATTAACCAAGTTTGCACAAAAAAAAATTATTGATCAGCGTTTCGTTGTCAAGCGGTTTCGTTGCTCCGTGGCTGTACCTCAAGCTTTTGAAATGACAGTATTTTTTCGAAAGTCTGTAAAGTTTTAGGTGAACAGTTTTTATTTCCTCTCAAGCGTCGATGATATTCGGCTTTAGTTCTTGGATTTGACAATTTAAATAACAACTCATTTCTTCTTGTGGGTGACCCATGGGTGATCATGATCTTTTCGCCTTCGTTTGTGTACAAGAGATTTATGAAGGGCCCAGAGATCGAGCTCATTCCCATTCTACTGATTGTAGTGATAGCTGCGCACATTATTTCATTTCGCAAGAGCTTCATTACTGAGGCCAATGCTAACGGATCTTTGAAATTAGTTTTTTTGAACCTCGGGTCGAGTAAAGTTGATGCAGCTAGCAAAAAAGAATGTTCGATGGATGGATTTTAGATAACTAGAGAATTCGTATTTCTTGAAAATGTTTTTACGATTATTTTACAATTCATCGATTAATTTAATCAAATGATTGATTAATCGCTGCCATCCCTAGGCCCAGCTAACAAGGAAAGTATGTATTTATGTACATACATCACAAGGGGCGTGATCCCCTTCTTCTCTGGTACTTGTAGCTAATGAATTGCTTAAGAAATTTGAAAGATAGACTGCAAAAGTAGTTTCGTACGCAGAAGACATGGCGGTGTTGGGGACAGAGAATTAAGCTGGATACTATTAGCAACGTGATTAATAATTCTGTAAAGGTGATACAACACAGGACTATTCAATCGAGCTTTGCGGTAAATGAGCATAAAACAGACCCATGTGCATTGCTGAAGGAAATATGAATGTATGCATACGGCCCATGCATGGAATCTCCCGAAATTTTTTAGCCCAGAACTGACTAAAAAGATGCACGGAATAGTGATCTTATACAGTAAAATGCAAAGACGCTTTAGAGTACTAAGTTTAGATCCATGAAAATATTTCTAGCTATTACTATGGAAATCTCATTGCTAGCTCTGATGCAATAGCACAAGGGGCAAAAACGTTTGGCGTTCATATTTTGGCTACGTGGTTGGTCGAGCGCCCCTCCAGTTTGTGGTGTGCGTCGTGATAAATTTCGTAACACAAGTGGAGAGGGCTAAACTTTTACGTCGTTACCGAGCGCCCGATGGTTTTCGGAAAACCGTGGACGACCTGTGTTAGAAAGTTTTTTTTTTTATATTTGAGTTGATGCTTGGACAAGGGATCGATTATAGGTCCTGCAGGGTGGTAGTATGCATCTAACCACAAGGCTTCAGTGGCCAATATTACTCTGGCGGGGCTCTGGCGGGGTAGACGGCATCGAGGAAACCGCTATTTCTTAAGCTTACTTACATATAAATATGATACGTACTACATGTAATTTAGAGAGAGGATCCTAGACTAAAGCCGAAATTGAGTGAACGGTGATTTTTTCAAATAAATAACAGCTTAATACAAATTTTAGGAAAATACAACATATTTCCATAAAAATTTTGAACTTTTTAATCTAAATTCTTGGATATGCAGTTACATGCCTAACGAAAGTTTAGTAAAATGAGTGCAAGTTTTAAACAGCGTTATTTTATATAAGAAGTTTAATTTATAAAAACTGCCATTGATTTTTTTGTTAATTTATGTACATCAAAAAGATGTACTTCTGACCTAAGTCCAGAGAGTGGGGGTTGAAATGGAATTTCAAGTACACAAAATGGACCCAAAATTTCCGTCTTAAGGCCTTTCACGTAATGAAATTTTTATGTCGACTTTGTCTGTTGGCCGACACTATATGGGTTAAAATCACAAAAGCGTTTAAAAACTCTGCCAATTTGTCCTTATTCTGTGAATACAAGTGAATAAATTGCAGAGAAATCCGAAAAATATAACGACCGAATTGAAACCAAAGATCTGGAAATTATTCGTGACTAAAATTCATTTGACTTCAAAAACCTTTATTCGCATTGTATTATATTGACAAACAATAAAAGTATCTTACATATGTACATTTGTATATTTAAATGCAGCGGAACCCATAACTTTATTACTAAATTCAGGTCTTCTAAGATTGAACAAAAGCTGCGATAAGTATACCTTATGAATAGCTAAATTGTGCACTTATACATAAGCTATCAAATAGTTTTCAACAGAAACGTGAACCGGATGAAAAATTTACTTCGAGCCGATTATTTCCTTTGAATTGGTTCGTTGAAAAGATTTTTGTTTTTTTTTGGTTTTTGAACCGGGGTTTTGGTTCGGTTTAACAGTTCGGGAATTACAAAAAAAATGATGTATATTTGTGTTAATTTATTCAGTAAAAATCCAAAAAGAAATACATACAGTGGTCGAAAAAATTATAGCCGCGAACATTTTGACAAGTTTTAACATATTTTGTTATTTAGTTTGGTTATTTTTTTTTTTAAATGTAGTTCATTCTGAAAACAAAGCGTGTAGCTGCAAGTTTCCAATTTTGTGCAAAAATAAAAAAAAAACCAAGACACTTTCGTAAAAATTTCGAGCCTATTAATTAGATTTCATAGACAGATTTTATTAGTAGTAGTATGAAAGACAAGTTTCAAATGACCTAAAATTAGCTTTGATTTTTTAAATTTTTTTTAGAAATCTAATTAAAAAGCTCGCAATTTTTACGAAAGTTTGCTTAATTTTTTTATTTACACGCTTTTTGCTAAAGAATTAACTATATTTTTATATACAAAAAAAAAAAAAAAAAATATATGTTAAAACTTTTCAAAATGTGGTGAGGTTATAATTTTTTCGACCATTATATAGATGTATAAAACCGGTCAGAATTTGTATCATCTGTTATACGTGGAAAAAAGTCAGATGGTAAATAAATATGGTGTTACCACATTTAAAGGAAAATAAATAAGAAAGTGGAGGGAAAATTGTCCGAAACGGACATTAATTATTTTTAAAAAATGGTTCGATTTTCGGTTTGGATTAAGCATTTGTGATAAATACCGGTTCGTTTAAGGGTTAAGTTAATTATTACAAAAAAGCGGTAATCCGGTTTGGCTCGAAACCGGTTAACATCCCTGGTTTTTTAACTGACTTCAAAATAATAGAAGGTTGCCAACTCGTCGGAATATTTTTCATTTTTTATATGTTACCGAATAACTTTTATAGTATATGAGCACTGAAGTCGGCCGTGTTTTTTGCATACTTATTAATTGTAATATGTATTATTAACTTATTTATGTGACATCAACAATTGATATGTACATAGTTCATACCAGGGACGTGTGGTTAATCAGTTTTCTGATAAACAAAATTACTTCGATTCCGATTAATCAAAACGTATTTAATCGAGAAATTAGTTACTTTGTTTTATTTTGACTAATTAACTAATCAGGCTTCGATTAATCAACATATTAGCTTTTTAGATTAATCGAACATTCTTAGTACATACTAACAAACATACACAAATAATAGGGACACGGTATTCTACTAGTTTTGGCTATTCTTCTTTTGATTGTTTAATGTTTATTATTTTATAAAAATACAGTTCATTACCTAACAAACACCATATAAATCCAAACTTCAAAACAAAAGAAAATTAGATAAACAAAATTTTACACCAACAACAAACTTTAAATCTAGGTGTGCAGTTGTATCGCCCATTTAATTCCAGCTTAAGATAGTGCAGGTTCAAAGTGAGTAAGAAATCGCGTTAATATTTGATGATTTTTTTCCGCAAAAAAATTTGCACTATATGGTTTTTGTTAGATAGTGAGCTGTATTTTTTATAAAAAAGATAATAAAAATTAAAAAAGAAAACAAACGAAAAATAGCCAAAACTGGTAAAAATTTCGTGTCCCTATTATTTTTAACAAGACTGTATTTGCACCTGAAAATTTCAAACTTCTTATTTAGAATTTTGGGTTAAAGTACAAATTTCAAGACGCTAGAAAATCGCGGAGATTTTTAATAATTTTTTTTTTTAATGATGATGCTAGGCTTTTTCACCGATACAAACGAAATTGTCGAGCATATTTTATATAGTTCTTCTGAATAAAAAGTTGAAAATTTTCGGATGCTTGTTGTATTTTCATAATTTTTGTACGGAGTTTGAAATGTGGCGCTGGTTATCTAAAGTGCTAAACTAGAAAATATAAACATTAAATAAACAAAAGAAAAATATACAAAACTAGTCGAAATGTCACTTGTCAGGTAACAATAAGTATATGAATACTAAGGGTACCTTTGTTTATAACTAATTACAACCATGTAACAGTAGAACCATACATATACAAAATTATGTAGCTAAATACACATAGGTATTTACATATGTATGTCCTTTTAATCTCTAAATACTGGATTGTGTGTGTGCCTCTTTTTCTATTTCGAAATTTTTTTATTTACAGTCTTTTTTCGAACAGTGTAAAGTGATATTCACTTGTCCTACTTATTTTTTGGTATTTTAGCCGTGAATATTATTTTCGAATTACATTTAAGAATCCAATACTCGCACTAGTATAAGTAGCTAAATTTTATAAGTAAACTATGAATATTACGTACATATAACTTACAGCTAAATAAATAATACATTAGATCGCCCCGGTGCTGAACTACAGAAAAATGTTCATATGGCCCACCTAGTTTCAAAGATTAATTTGAGAGAATTTTAGCATCTTTGAAATTTTGTTCTGGAAACTGCCGAATCCATTTTTCCCCTTTTCGTTTTTTATTCGTGACCAAATTTCATGGTCATTGAAAAAGTGTTTAGGTCTTAAATTTAGGATCATGAAAAAAAAATCATCCATAAAAGTTTTTAATTTTATTCTAACCAAAATTGAATTTAGACGGTTAAAAATTGATATAGTTGAGTTTACTGGTTGAAAGAGGTAATTAAGGTCAATGGCATAATAAAGCTAAATTTGCATAAGTGGCTCTTAAAAATGTCTTTTAGCCGATACACAACTTTTTAATATCGCGTTAAAAATAAACAAAGTTATGAACAAAAGTCGCTTTCATCTATTTCGGGAAATTTTTATGACGCTGGAATCCTCTTCAAGGAAGCTTTCAAACAACGGTGAGCATTTACAAACATTTTTT